TTATTCTTCGTACGAGAAGAGGTCGTTACTGCTTCTATAGAGCCAAATATTGCCCATCCGTCCAATGTACATTGTTCAGCATTAACATTTAATAATAGATTTTTATTCCTTCCCGATTTTCCATTAGATTTCTTTCATTAAAGATGGCGACGAGAAACGGTCTTTGCTTATTCCCTCCCGTATAGAGTTTATCGTTTAACTAAAGTACTGAGTGTATCGAAGTTATTTTTTGGTGTTTTTGTTATGAGGGTAAGCTTTAGAAAAGAGGTTTGGTTCTGAGGCTGATTTTCTCAAAACTTGATTTGCAGTCTCTGAACGATAACTGCTTTTTCGGCTTCAGGCCTAGCTTTCAAGCCTTCAGCTTTGATGAAATGATAAGTCGTAAGAGATCTAAACAACGCAAAAACCGACACAAATATAAAAGATAAAATAGGAAAACTGGATGGAAATGGTTGTGATAGGAAATGGATGTTTTGCGAGGGGAAAATACTCGGAGTTTATTGAACCAGTATGACGTAGATTATCTTTTTGTATTGCAGGTTAATGTGACTATAGAACTTTGGTGAACACGTTTTTTCTGTTTCAACGCATTTTACCGTCAATAAGTTCACGTGCGATTTAAACCAAGATAAATTTCATGAATTACACAGAAAAACATGTGTTTCAAACAAAAAACAATTCTCTTGTGGTGGAAAAAGACTTTTCAAAAAATGCTTTTTATCAATGTAGGAAAATTGAGAACGCAGCTGGAGTTTTGTCGCTATCCACGCTTGCTTGAGTTCTTTCTGTAGTTACAGAATTTCATCCTTTCTTTTTGTTGGACGTCGTTTATGCAAAACTCTTTAGGTAACACGGCATTACTAATCGACAATGCATCAGATAACTGGTGTTCGGTTATTTTTGTTCCAAGCATACTTGCCTTTGTAAAATCAACTCCAGGAACAGCAACATATCGAAAATCAACTCCGTCTAATATTGCTTTACGAAAATTCGTAAAACCTAGCAAAGAATACGAAAAGTTTGCACCCGTTAAGTCAGCATTATTGAAATCAGATGATATTAATATTCGAGATGTAAACGTTGCATTAATCAAAGATGTTTCAGGCAGGTATAATTCGCTAAATCCAACTAGTCTTTTAAACATTTTATTGCCTAAATTAAGATTGTTCAGATCAGCATCTGTTAAGTCGACGGGCAATTGCCGTCCATTAGTACTAAGCAATTTTGATTCATATAAAAACTGGATTAAGTAACTTTTACGTGTTGGATCTAGTTGTCGTATGGCTGTCAATGCTTTCGGTCGAACAATTCTTGCCATTGTTTCCTGTGTTAATGAAAAATTTTTTTCTAACAGAAGTTCAGATATTTCTTTAACGAAATTAGTCAAAATAGACTCTTTTTGTTGTTGATCAGCAATTTGTAAATCTTTTTGACGATTTTTCTCACCAATATTTTGTTGTTGTATAGCAAGAACAATAGTAAATACACCAATCATCAACGGGATGAGTATCGACGAGAAAATCTTCACAAGATCGATCAAGGAACAACAACAGCAGCAGCTTGCCTTGGATGATTTGCGCGAAGACGATTCTTTATTTTTGACGGCATTATTATCAAACGTATCAAGCGGTGATATTCGAGCCATGACTGTAACAAAAGTAGTTACCAATTTTAACCCAAACACGACAGAGGCTATAATGTTACCCACCTTGTTGAGTCAGATTATCTTTAAAAAATGTGAAATCCATTGCCAGAGTTAAAAAGTCTCTTTGAGATACAGATGAATAAAAAAAAGAAGAACAATAACACTATCAAGTACGTTTCGAAAGATTTGTTTGACAAGAAAACTAAATTATATTTCTGTTAATAAAAGTCAAAAAAAAGATGAATGACTGTTTTCCTTTTAAATTAAGCTATTACTCAATGACATCAACATTAGTTTAGAGACATTGAAAATGACGCATTTCAAACTCGCTTTTAACATTTGAAATGATAACAGGTAATACCGGTGCATACCTAAACCTATTGGTGAGGGAAGTCGGTCTCGATCTAACTTTGAGTGGTACTCAATTTACTTGCAAAATTCCTGAAGTTTATCCTCGATTTTCTCCTAAACGCTCTGAAAATTTTTCGAGATTTTTTCAGGATAGGAACTACTTAGTAAGATTTATAACTTTGCCCATACAACTATCCTCGACACTTTCCATTTTTTACCCTCAGTTTTCCGGAAATCCCCTTAGAAAACCTGTGGTACGCAAATACAGAGAAGTCTCAGATAACGTTGAAGTACATTGAATTCTTCATGCTGGACAGGAATATAGAGTCATAATAGTTCAATTTTCTTATAGTTATGCAATATTTCGTTCATTTTCACCGACTTCAGTTTCACCCTCACCAAAAACTTGAGGTGTCTAGAAAACGACTTTCCACACGTATTTTCCAAAAAGCGTACGCGAGACCTTCAGATTATTTTTATGCTCTACACCATGGGCAAAGTAAAATTTTCGCGGCTAATAGTGAATTTAATAGTGGGCGCACCTGCGTGGAAGGACCCCATAAATTCTATCAGTTTTATTCTGAGCAAGTGGACCATTTGTGCAGCTTAGGCGTGTTTGCATAGTAGCATAGAATGTTGCGAAATCGCGGCGCGATCTTGATCAATTCTTATTTTCAAGAACCCAAGTCAACTTTCGCGCCTCAAACGCGGCGCGATCGCTATTAAACCCCGTATATCGCGGCGCGATCGCTAAAAAATCTTGTATTCCCATCGCGATCGCGCTGGACTCTTAAACGCTGTGATCTTGGCCCAATCTTATTTTAAAAAAAGTCTGTTTCTACGATTCGCTATACTGTCGCCATGTCGCGGCGCGATCACTATAATAAAAATTCTCTAAGAAATTCGATTAACAATGCTATTAAAAACTATTTAATTTCAGAGATTTTGCGAAAACGTTCGTGATAAACGCTTGGATGTCTCTGTATGTCTAAACTTCCTTTTCCTACTCATATTTGTTCAACGTTGCCAGATCCTTTTTCATCGAGGACCCTTGATCGATGACCCATAAAGATCATACAGCTAATATAAGGTATGTTCTCATAATATAGAAAGTGGAAAAGTCAATGCAGCGTTGTTTTCATTCACCATTTTATTCTTTTAACACTTTTTTAAGGGGTATCTGGGTATCTGGAAAACCTGACCGCTAGAAAACCAAGTCTTTGCCTTTTAGTCAGAAAGTTTTGCAAACCACATAGCCTTATAGAGCAAAGAGTTCTGAGCAAAATAAGATATCTCCCGGCTGTCTATAACGCTTTTTCACTGGAATATTTTGGTAATGTTCACGCCCCCTTAGCCATTCGTAAGTTGACTGCAGTGGGTGAAATAGCTCTACTTTTGCCTTTCCCCAATCTTAATACTTTTTAAAAGAGAATACGTTCGATTTTTTTCATCGAATAATTTACAAATATATTGTATAAACTGATGCGTTGTTCACATATATATTTATCTAGTCTATTTTCATTTTTCCTTTGAAAAAATGCTCTAGACTATTCAACACTAGGCCGGTAGCAACAAATGTAAATGTTAAAACTTTGGTCAAAAAAGTTGTTAACATTTACATTTGTTGCTACAGGCCTACTTATAAATGGCGAAAATGTTCACTCATTCTTCGTATTTTCTCGCCGTCCGAACTATGAAAAACGCTTTTTCTCATTTCTATTTCTATGTATATAGTAAAAAAACGAAAAGAGAACGAGATAAACACGCTACTGTCCATAGTAAGACAAGCGAGAAATATATATTGTCTTATTCTTTTTATATTCGTTTCATAATTGTTCGAAAACAAACAAGAACATTCGTTTGAATATTCATATAAATCATTATTTACATAAAAGTTATTGGTATTGTTATGTTGGATTTTTAAACAGAAATTTTTTTTCCTTATAAAATACTTCAACAATTGATTATTATTATTCGAACAAGATTTGTGAAATAACAAACAACATTTGATCTTAAATTCAAAATGGCACGAAAAAAACGTAATAGAAAAAAAAATCTCAACATAAAATTTCAACACCTATTGAAATTCAACCAACTAACAATGCACGAACAACTAGTGAAATCCAACCAATTCGTAATCCTCCAACAAATGTTCAAGATCAATCAGTTGCTAATCCAACAAGATTTCGAAAAGATCCACTCTACAGGAAGATGATGATATATTATTGAAATGCTTCTAATTTCACAGATAGAATCCAAAGTTTTACCAACAACGGTTCATACCAAATAATAATGGCATGTGTTGGATTTGTCGGGCTTGTTGGGCTTAGTACGTATATTATTCCATCTTATTTGGATGCATATGGTTGTGCTATGGTTTCCAAATACAAAAAAGATTTATTAGATGATTTAAAGGAATATGATATGCCAAATTTCTTCAATAATACTCATGTTTTTTATGTTTTAAAACAAGAATTCGTTTATAAACGAATTCAAAAAAATCAATAAGTTTTCTGTATCTGTCGTATACGACAGATACAGAAAACTTATTGATTTTTTTTCAGAAGAGATTAATGATATAGATATTAACTACAAAGCTATAGACAATTTCTTGTTAGATTGTCTAACTATGAACATATTTTCCACATCTTTAATGTTCTTTTTAAATCTTCCATGGTGGTGCAATGCCATAAGTTTAATTTATCAAATAATAACGAGAATCATTAAATACGAGCCCACATTTTTTTTTCTTAAATTGTACCTTTATAATTAATTATTGTGTTCCTTGGATTTTCTTAATAGTTCATTTTGCTAATGTCGTCTTTTTTTCACATAGTGTTAGTGATTAAAAACTAAATAAATTATAAATATTAATTTATGTTTTTGTCTATTCTATATCAATCATCGTTTTGTCAACAATGAGGTGTTTAATATCGTAACCGAAGTCGTTGTTCATCTGAATATTATTATACAAGTGCTTGGCCACCATAACATCATATTTAATTAGATTATATATTCGCACTTGTACGAAATGTACAAACACTCCATAAACTATTCCCTGAAGTGTTTCAGCGAGATCAGATGGTGCTACAATTAGATATCTTCAAAATGATATCAATCGATAGAAAATAATATACCAATTGTAAAAGCTTTTTCTGCGATAAGTACATAGAGAATACCAAAATTTAAAAAATCCATGATTTCTATTGCTAAAATACAATAAGGTCGACGAATAAAATAATAGTCAAAGAATCGAATTGAAAGTGCAAGAAAGATTAGTATAGATGAGAGACTTCTACCT